CCCCAAAACCCCAAAACCCCAAAACCCCGAATGAAACATTTAAAATACAATGGATTAATATATTTAAAAATAATATAGATCATGCTAAATTTCTACGCTGTCTAAGATCATTTGGTTTTCTAGAACTATCTTGAAGATCGTCCTAGACTTCAAAGTTATCTCCTTCTTCATTAAAGTCTTGATCGTCTTGCTATTGTCTTCTCTTTTTGCTGCGTGACTTCCTAGACCTTGAACCCTCACTCTTCTTAACTTTTCTTTATCCAATTAACTCAACTTATTATTGTTTCTCCATCTCCTCTTATTTTTGGATAAGCTCCTTTTATCTATAGTATATTTAATTTAGTGAAGCAATTTACTTTTATATTTCAAGTTCCTTTTACTTCTTTTGAGTATAGGATTGAGGCACCATTTTACCTCTGATTACTTCTGTTATCTGATCTAAACTGAACTACTTAGCTTTGCTTAACCCAGCAGTTCTCTCGACATACTCCTCAGCTTTAGTTTCATCTTATCTCAATTCTCTGAGCATTCCTAAATAATTGAATAACTCTAAAAGAATACATACTTCTCATATCTTCTATTGTTACAACTCTTCCATCACTTGAAATTGACTTGAAAAATATTTTAATGAATTCCTAATCTTGCATGTAGTTCTTCTTTTAAATTATTTACTAGTATTATAACATTTAAAAAGGAGTAAAAACACACTCCTCTTAACCTTTATTATTCTTAACGAACTCTCCGACACCTTTTAAGAATGCATTAAGTTGTATTGCTTCATCTGAAAATCCAAAGGCCCTGAAACCATTTACAACTTCATCTACTTTTAATTTCACATTTTGACTGTCAATTGAATCCTTATTGTTTAATCTCATAGACTCAAGTGTAGCAATATTTGTTTGATCTCTAAAATAGTCAAAAGCAAGTTTAAGTTCTTCTCCTCCTTTGTATCCTGTATTCTAGCGTACTGTTGATTTGAGTTCCTGAGAAAACTTTTAGAAGTAACGAGGATCATTATAAAATGACATTTTGAAATTATTGATTATAGCTTAAACTATAAATTTATTAATAGGTTGATTAGATAATGATTTGATTAAAATTAAAGGTTTCTTAATTGATTACTTCTAATATAATTCACAGATAACTTAGATACAAGATAGTCGAATTTATTCCAAGAATAGTGCGTGTTCCGTAGTCGATTGCAAAATATAGAATAGGCAGCAAAAAGTACTGCTGTTTCCTTAAGAATGGGAGTACTACAATTAAATATCAGATGAAGAAAAAATATTACCAGCATAGCCTCTAAATGTCAAAAACCAATAGTAAGCAGCTGCTATGAAATGTAAGGTGTTTGAACATATCAAAGGTATTATCCCTTCTCTGTTTGTTAATGGTAACAGTAATAACTAAAAGATAAATAACCAATAAATAAATAATTACCTAGAACAGGTAAGCAAACACAAAGAAAGGAAAAAAGGAGTTGCAATGAATATCAAAGGCATACATAGGCTCAATAGAATTAATAGCTGCATGAACTGATTATTTATCCTCTTTTCTCATATATCTCTCTGCAATAAATTTACAGCCAAATGATATTATTACTCCACTCAAAGCAAAGTGTAATAAAATCATTTTCATCGCAATTTATAAATATCCAGTTACGAAATCTTTCTGTAGCACTATTCCATATGTAATACCAATTATAAAGAGAATGACAATAATTGAACTGACTAGACATGGGTCATCTCTATGCCACTGGTTTCTAATTTGTTTAAGTCTTTTCGTGTATTGATAAAGTTTAGCTGGAGATTTAAGTGAGTTTATCATTAAAAACAGGGCTAAATCGAAATCCATTTGCTTTGGCCTAACCATCTTGAAGATATAGTGCTTAATGTATTTCTTAGTCAACTTGTAGTTGTTATTGGCCTGCTGCTATTGTCCTAGAGTGTTTGAATCTGAACTTGATTAATTTTATGCTTAATCTCTGTATTATGGCAGCATTTTTAAATTATAAATTCTCTAAATTTTAAATTTATCCTACCTTGCGGGGTTTTGGGGTTTTGGGGTTTTGGGGTTTTGGGGTTTTGGGG